TCGACTTCAAGCTTCGTTGTAAAAACTCAGAAGAAAGAGAGAGCCATGGAAGGTGGAAACTGTGAGAAGGAGGAATCGCATGTTCTTGAGATCAATCTCATATCGGCGCAAGGACTGAAAGAGCCAACGGGAAAGCTCCGGCGATTGCAGACTTACGCATCTGTCTGGGTTGATTCATCCAACAAGCTTCGCACTCGGATTGATCGGATCGGCGCTGAGAATCCGATCTGGAACGACAAATTCGTTTTCCAGGTTTCTTCTGATTTTCTCTCTAGCGAAACTTCTGGTGTATCGATCGAGATCTATGCGGTTGGTTACTTGCGTGATCATCTGATCGGAACTGTTCGCTTTCTCGTGAGTAACTTCCTCCCAACCGCCGCCGTTAAAGTTCCGTCTCTAGTCGCGCTTCAGATCCGTCGTCCTTCTGGAAAATTCCGCGGTGTTCTTAACATCGCGGCGATGGTAATCGACGGTTCCGAACTTCCGGCTGATTTCTTCAAGTCCGTTCAAGAGAAAGCGGCGGAGAACCGTCGTCGGAGTCGAAAGATGAGAAAATCTAGATCTGCGGTTAGTTCGTCGGAGAACGGTTTCGCTGAAGAAGACGTCAGGAGTTCGAAAGAGAATTCGGTTTCTGGATCTGTGAATTTCTCCGACGACGGTACGGATTCGACTGCGTCTTCTCCGATGCCGTCTCCGCTCAGAGACTGGGACGCGATTCGAAATTTGGCGGGAAAAAATCACGTGAGATCTTCATCGGACGGTGGAGGATTGATGTGCTGTTTCTTGATGAAATCGTCCGGTGTGTTACCAGGAAGAGCAATCATGGACGGTTAAGATCTCCGCCACGTATACCTATCAGATCGTTATCACGAGCACCTATTAGATCATCGCCACGTGTACCAATCAGATCTTCATGTACTATACGTCATTGTTTAGGCCGTTTCGAACGGTTACGAGTGTAACAAATTTTGGGATTTTCTTTTGTTTTTGATTAGCTGAAAAACAGAAAA